ATAAATTAAACCTTGGTGTCTTGTTTCTTTTGTTATCTTCATTCACTTCCTTTTATTCTCTCTCAAGCTCATGACTTGAAATCTTTACCTTCATATTAGAATGACTGCCAAATTTATATCTCTACCTAGGTCTTTCTCTCTAACTTGATTCAAGATGTTGGTTCAGGAAACTGGCTTTTCGATGCCTATGCTTGAATGTCTAAGGGTCACCTCAAATTAAACATGTCTGAGACTAAACTTATTTTTGTACTCTGCTTCTCCCCAAACCCTTCTACATTCTTCCTTTCCATCTTAATTGATGGCACATCTATTCTTCCAGGTGTTCAGATCAAAAATCTAGAAACATTCTTTGACTTCTCTTTTTCTTTCACAGCCCACAGCAAATTGATCAAGGAATGTGATCTTCAAAATTCATGAAGAATCTATCACTTCTACGGTTACAACCCTGTTTGAGCCTGGACCATGCTCAAGTCTCACCTGGAGCCTCATCTTACTCTCCCCATTTCTCCATACTCTCCTACAGCCTACTCTCACCACATCAGCCAGAGTGACTTTTTCAAATTATCAAGTCAGGTTATTCTGAATCTCATTGTTTCTCTTTTCCCCCTTTCCAGATAAGCTATATTCCTAATTGATCCTTTAAGATCTTGACCTTTTAAGTATCTAGATACTCCCCTTATCTCTTTCAACTGTTTGCTCAAATGAGGTAATCCTCATTTTATTTTCAACTATTTTCACTCTCCACACCAGCACTCCTGGTCTTCCATACTCTGTTTCAATTTCTCACCTTCTCATACTTTTTAAATTTAGATTTTATTGTATTCATCACTAACAAACTACTGTCTCAACACACTAGGTTGTAAGCTTCACAAGAGCAGGCAAGGTTTTTGTCTTCTTTTATTTACTCTGTGCCTAGAGCAATAGTCAGCACAGAGTATGGATTCAATAAATATTTGTCATGTGAATAAGTAAATGAGTGAAAAATGTATAAGCAAGATGGAGGAACATTCCGGAATAGAATCCCCTTTTAAAATCTTAAATACCTTGACAGTACTAGGAGTCACTGTTATACATTTTTAATAAGGAAGAAATCAGTCCCTATGTTAAACGGACAACCAAACAAACCAAACATTTGTGGAAAAGGCTCTTGAAATAATTCAATATTATCTCAGGTAAAGGCTATGAACCAGAGCATGGAAAACACTTGAAAATCACAAACAAAATGCTCAAAGAGTAAATGATTGTGCCAGAGCCATCTATAAAGATGTTAATCTTCTGCACAATACAAATTGGGGTAAATAAGAAAGCAAGTTGGTGTCTCATAAGGGCAGAAATAAAAGTTAATTCTATATCCATCTTAGAAGAGCTATGCAAATAATAGTAAAAGTGCTGGAGAAATACAAGACTATACAACTCTAGAGAATCCACGAACCAGACAATGTATTTGCAAATCTTCTCTGGGTCCCTTGTTACTCCTTCTCATGTTTACTGCCTCATATTTGGCCACTGTCTTGTTTATTAGCAACTCTCTCAGGAGAGCAACCTAAAGAAACAGAGGGAAACTGAAGCAAGTTAAAGCAACTTCTTGATTGCAGCCAGGAAGGCTATGTGGGGATCTTAGTCTGCACAGTAAGAAGCATGTGGTATTATTAGCTTGGTGCAAAAGTAACTGAGGTTTAAAGTATTCACTTAATAACTGAATATATTTTTGGAAATTGGCTGCTAACATTGGCTTGATTCAATTCAATTAAGGTGAGCATTAAGTCTATCTAAAATATGGTCAACAGATAGAATAAAAAGAACTTAGATATGTGAATGTGTAAAAGAAAGGAGGAAAAAAAGAGAGGAGAAGGATGGATAGATAGCACCTTCTGCTATGGAAATCATCACAGAAGGTAATTTAACATAATGGAAATCCATCTAACGTAAATAAGAATTAAGGCCAAACCTGCCTCGGCCACTAACTAGCAGTCAGTGGTAAGGTTGGAACACCTAACTTTTCAGAATCTACCTTCTTACTTATAAAATAGAGATAAAAAATTAAAATTAAAAAACAGAGATAGTAATATACTTTTCTCACAATGTTGTTATGATTATTAAATATATAAATTATGCAAAACACCTTATATATAAAAGCAGGTGTCTGTCCTCCACAACCAAATTCCATATTTTATCACATGTTATCTGCTTGTTTGTTCAAGTGTTGATAATCATCTCATGTTCAGCATTCATTCTTCTTTTCCATTTTGCAAGGATAAAACTCTGAAGAAATATCTAGAGGGTAATTAACATATGGCTAAAACTATCATGGGAAATATTAAAAAACAGATTAAAAAGTACAACTGGGACTTGTTTTAAAACAAGAGGCAGCCTACTGATAAAAATGAGCTTTTTTCTTAAATTGGAGGAAAATATTATAAACGCCCTATTTAAAAAGTATAGCACATCTCTTGGAGGAGGGATAAGATTTCCTTCCTTTATACACACCAAAGGATTTCCTTCCTTTTATACAAACCAAAGAAAATGCTTTGCTCTTTGTAAAGTTGTTTGATTATAAGTTCAATGGGAGGAGGGTTCTTTGTTTCATTTATTACTAACTCCCTTGAATAGTATGTGGCTTGTAATTGGCAATTAGGAAATAGTTTTGCATGAATACAGTATGCACAGATTATAGAGTACTTGGCTTAGGGATGGGGGTCCATCTGCCTCTGCAGATGATCCATACACACATAAAAGAAATAAACAATAACAAGACAGGGTTTTAATGGCATCCAGATAAAAGGCAAAGCAGCTATTCTCACAGTTCCTGAGCCATCATTTATAAACTCCTGGCAAAGCAACTATTCTCACAGTACCTAAACCATCATTTATATACTCCTATACTCCTGGCATTCTACTGAAAATCTCACAGTCTATATGCAGTATATATTGTGTATATATAGATATATATACCCACACACACACAGAGATAAAGTGACTAATAATTTCTTGACTCCCAAAAATATAATATCTTGAAATAACCAAAATAGCCCCTTCATGGTAGAAAAGAAGAAAACAAAACAGTTGAAAGTTTTGAAAAAGGTTTCTACTCCTCTACTTAAAAGCTAAAGTCTAAACTTTAGTTTTTGTTTATTTTAAAAATGCTATTTATACATATAAATTACATTAAAAATTTTTGTTATTTAGACTTCAGGATAATGGACAAACATCTAATAAATGAGCAGAATGTATTAATAAGCACAATAGATTTAAACTGCCAACCATACAGGGTCAAGTAGGCATCAATAGCTGTCCTCCTTCTAATTATTAATTAGTTCAGAGTTTGTGAAGGTAATAACATTGCCTACAAATCTCCTTGCCAACTCCCTTGTTAAAGCAAATGGAACCAACAATACAAAGAACAATGAAAAAGAATTTTCTGATAAATCTTTTATCCTCTGAAGTTGTATGAGAAGAAAGGTCACTTTCTCACTCACTAGCTTACCTTTTGATGCGCTCATGTTTTTCTTCATCACACATATTTTTATGTATTATGCTCTATTTATGCATTCTTCAATAGCATCTTTATTTATGACTTTGTGAATCAACATCTTTGTGATAGGAGGCGAAAGTCACTTAGTTAATTACACATGCTTGATAAGCTGCCTAATAATAACTACTGCAGTATTGTACATTAGTTAAAGGTATGTAAATTACTGCAGTTATTTTCATTTGCAGAAAAAAGAGACCTTTTTTTAGTTGTTTAAAACACCCTTGTTGCCTCCATATCTGTCCTCTTAAGTATACTGTGCTTTTAACCCAAATTATAGCATCAATAAAGAATGACGTTTAAATCCCACTCTATCAGCATTACCCAAGAAATAAGAACAAAGACAAAACAAACTAAAACCCCCCACAACTTAATGCAAATACTTCTGAATTGCAGTTATGAATTTTGTTATTTATAAAGTATCTTCCATATAAATGTAATCCCAGTAAAACAGAACAGTTTAGACAGTCCCTGTCCCACAAGGATGCTACTATAAGGAAATCTGACTTGGTCCAGCCAGGAGATTTAGACGTGCATAGTGGGAGAGAATGTGCAACATTAAAATATTAATATGACATCTGTATGAAGATTGGAAATTCTACAAAGGTATGAATAAGGTCAAAATAATGCTTGGATGATTTACTGCCATAGAAAATCACACTCTCCTATGAGTGATTTACTGAATGTTATATAAAAATGGAGTGTGGACAAGCTACATTCAGATGCAAGCTTGCAGCTGTCAGTGTCTACATTTGCTCAATCTGGCTAGAGGATGATTTGAAGGTTGATTTAATTGTAGCTTCTGAATCATGCACTTCTCTATGTTTTAAATTGTTTAACGTAAATATAAAAATGTTAAAGTAATTTTAAGACTGTAAATATTTAGTATCAAATCTGCAAAATCTCATTCTCCTCTGGAAAAGTGACTGAAAATGAAAAGACAGAGAAAAACACTATTACCTTAATAATAATTGCTCAGTAATTATGTAAAATTTACCCTTATGATGAGAAAGTCCAGAAAGTATTCAGAAGGAGTGCTAAGAATAAACAAAAAACCCCCACTAGATTTGTGGTTGAAGTGATCAAATTTTAAGAAGAACACAAATATATATCTGTAGGAAAGAGTTCAGAGATCAAAGTTACAAGTTAGTAAGACAGCACTGCTTGGGTTCCTTGCAGGTATCATAATAGCCTTAGTATATATTCCACTACACACAAACTCTAAGCAGAGATTCAACTCTTGCCAATCCTACCAGCACCAGAACACAAGGCACAACCAATGAGCTTTGCCAATGTCATCTACTCAGCTAGAGCTCTCCTTAATCACCTTTCCATTCCTTGACAGCCTTCATCAGATTCCAAGTATCACCTAACCATTTACTTCCCAGCATCAGCAAATCACCCTGGAGAGTTCTTTGTTCTTCCTCTGCAAGTTTTGTCCCCCATTTTTAATTTCCACTTTTATACATACCTCCTTTTCTACATATTTTCTTGCCGGGCTTTCTGGCACATTCCTTGGATATTCTTTTTACTGAAAAATGAATAGAAGACTAGAAAATAACATGGCGCTCCATCACAGACCGCCGAACATGCAACACTACTATCTAACTCAATATGCTCCTGCATTTGCTCAGTGCGAAAGAGCCCCAATTCGTTGAGACTGCACATGCAATGAGGAAATGTTGATGCATCTTCTCAGAAGTCATTTGGTAGAAAATGGAAATTAGAAACCCATTTCTACCTAAATATACGTGCTGTGGAAGAAAGAAAATGAGTAAGCACAGGAAAAAAAATAAGATACACTGACTGACACACATAAACAAAAAGAGCACCATGCACGCATGTAAAATATGTCTACATGCCAACAGGAAAAGCCATGCATACTACCAGTACACATGAATTAATATTGTTAGAACTTAGAATAGAAAAAAATATATAAATATATCTCCCTGTTTTTCCTGCAATAAACTCACCATCCTCAGTTGGGACATATATATTTAAATATAGGCAGTCTTCGCTCTGGTCTTGTACGTATGATGAAACCACATCCAAGTTATTAGTAAACCACACAGGAAGCATGACTTCTGGCAGTCTGCCATCAATGATATTCTGGGGACACACAGGAGCAAACTGAGTGGCATTCCTGATATCTGACCAGGGAGATGGTGGTTCTGGAGGCTGAAAACGACGTTCCCCTGTTGGCGGGGCTGCATATGGAACTCCAAGAAATTGAATCACAGGCCCCAAAATTTCATTATTGAGTTCCTTCTTAATCCCTCTTATCTTTCCAAAGTTGGTAGTCACCAGTGGGTCCACATCATCCAATTTTTGTGGTAGCACATGGCCAGCCTGAAGCAAACATCCCAACATACAGAGAGTCAATGGGGTACCCAATCCCCTGTGTACCAAGCATGCCATCACTGCTCTCCAAACATAATCTGGCCACGTGCATCTGGGCAGCGCCATGGTCCCACATTAGTTGTCTAGCTGACTGGTTACAGTGAGGCAAATGTATTTATATCCACTTGCGAAAGACTGTATAATGGTAGAATATACCTCCGATTTCTTAAAGGGGAGCTTGTTGGGAAAAGCTCTGAAAGATCTTCATACAGCAGGTATCTCCCATTGAATTCACATGTATTGGAGCAGCATCTTCAATCATCACTATTTATCTGACCATATCCTATTGAACATTCTGTTTTCCATATTAGCAGTGTGGCAAGAGTGGGAACTGACTGTAGATTTCTCTCTTATAAATCAAATTCGGTTAGCTGCAGGTCTATATCCTAGAAAAAATGAAAATAAATCGTAAGTTGGAGCAAGCTAACATAGACGGTGTGATAACTAGATGTTTTACAACCTACAGAAATACATTAATAATGACTAGCATCAGCTAAGTTAAATATTACCATATGAAAATCATGGTTTGAAGTGAGATGCCAAGTAAACTAACTGATTTTAAGATTACTGAGAAACTTGTCTGCTGACTTTATACACATTTAAGTGGAAGCAGGCCTTGTCAAAATACACAGTTTCAGAAACATGTCAAAGTAAAGTATTTAAAAATACTGAATGTTAGGTGTGAAATTTATACTTTATTAATAGTCTTCAATCACTTCAAGTAATAGAAGATTAATCTATTTCAATTTTAAAACTCAATAGCAGAAAATCTTTTAAGAAACTGACAGTAAACTAGCAGAACAGATACAAACTCTGTAAGATGATTGTATGCAATGAAAAACAGACAAAAAGGTAGTTCCCAATCCTATGATTATCAAAAAAAGGAAGATAACATCAGGACAGGAAAACTAATACGAGTTCAGCTATGATTATTCGGATGAAACTACCTTACTTCCTTGCTGTATCTCAAAAGTTTTCATAAAATTTTGCTTACATGTTTCCTATTTGAGATTATGATTCAAGAATTTAAAAGAGAAAATGGCATTAGATACAATTTGTAAAAGAGATAGAAGTTGACATCTTTTTTTGCAGATAAGTTATTTTACCATCTTGCTATATATTTTAGATATCAATAAATTTGGATGCAAAAATTAATTTATGAGTCAAAGTCAATATATTTTAAATTACAATTTTGTTCTCACTGTCTATTAGAGATCAGAGGAAGATTAGAAAAAGAGAGCGTGGTGATTTACAAAAACAATCATACCTAATCATGGCACCTTGCATATTAACACTAATCAAATATCTACCATTGTTTACACAGTTCAACTTAAAATGCATCAGAATAAAGTGTAACATTCAGAGGAATGCAATCCACAGAGTAATCTGACATTAACTGTCAAATAACATACTGCTCAAAATATGTGTCTTTTCTTGTTTAAGCAACCTTTTAAAGCGCTTACTTTGAAACTAAAGTGTTGATTTGTATTAGAGATGGTTCTATCCTGTATATTATGGGAAGATTCCTAAAGAAATGCTCGTCTGGCAGTGAGAGTGCCCTGACTTTGTGTTATTTAAAAAGAGATTGTAAAAACTATATAGGGCAGCAGGAGATTTGGTTCTGGCCTAGTGTGCCTTTAGCTCTGAACAATCCATCACGGAAGGCTATAAGGAGATAAATGTCTTTCTTTGAAAATACTTTAGTCTGTGTTAATTCTTACACCTTTGCCGTGAAAGCACATTAACATACAAAAGACAGGCTTAGACCAATCCAATTCCTGTTCCAGAACTCTAGCACTTATCGGAAATTCAGCTACACAAACCCATGTCTGTAAAGAGTATATTATGCTTATTCTTGTGCAGCGCCATAGTAGGCCACAGCATGAATGAGTCTTTGCAAGTTCCCTTTGGTATTCAAAATGCATTATTTTGACACCTAACATAGAGAACTTATGATGAGGTCTTAAAAGTCTCCATCATTGTTTTTTATTCAACTTAATTTTCAAGTACTCTACAGCAATTTCCAAAAGTTCTTCTTCGCACAACTGATATCAAATACTTGTTTGGTTGTTAACAAAATCACAGGCCTTTTTTTGTACTTAGAAATCCCTAACTGTGTTAAGGATAAAGAATCTCCTGTTTCCCACTTATGTGCTACTTTAACACAAACTGCAGAGGATTGGGAATTTTTCATGCCATGATGGGTTTTCAAATTCGAAAGACGTTTAGCTCCTGAGGTTACAAAAGTATCCCATTTTGCATGTTGTATGTATGGAGAACTATAGTATTGAGCTCCAAAATTTTCAGAAGTTGCTACCATAATAATAGCAGTCGTCCAATCAAATGTAGAAACATGGCTTATTTAAAGTACTAAAATTAAAAAACATATATATGCCTAAACGGTCTCAAATTTGTTGACAATCTTTCCCCCTATTTATTGATGCTTCCTTCGTATATACCAAATCCTCAGTTTTCATGCATTTATGTCTCATTTACAACAATCCTATGGAGTGGATTTGACAGTTAACCTTTTTACTCATGAGGAACAGAGACTTGAAGAGGTTAATTTTACCTTGGCCAGGGTCTCTTAGCTACTTAGTAGCAGATCCAGGAGCCCATTGCTATCTGATTTAAAGGTCATTCTTATGATCATTGCATATAATACAGTCTCTCATTTCACAATTATCACTTTTTAAGAAATTGATCCTAAAATTGAATTGTAAAAATATTTTATGTTTCTTCAGAAGATGAAATCTTGGTAAATATTCTGACAATTTCATAGGATAGAGAAATAAAAATGATCTACCCTATTCTTATTGGATTTATTATTTTATTTCGCTATGTATATGCAAAATAAAAAATAAATAATGTATATATATACACATATACATATTTTATCAATTTTACTCTATATTGAATATGGTGATAGGTTTTTCTTACATTATTACATAAGATCATGTTAAACAATGATTTGTATAATAATTTGGTTATTTTTTAGTAGCCAAAAACCCAAACTTATGACAACCTAAATGTCCATCAATGGATATTGATAAATTATGATATATTCACAAATTCACATTCTATATATTAATGAAAATAAAGGACCTAAACCCAAAATATCAACATATATAAATCTTAAAATTTTTGGCAAAACAAATCACAGAAAATTAGATACAGTAAATACTGTTTAAATAAGCTTAAAGTATTTAAAGAATATTATGTATTATTTTTAAGTGGGTACATACATAGTAACAGGATAGCCGTCATCTTTGAGTAAAAAGGAAAGAGAATAAGGTTCATTCTAGAAACAATTCAATTAATTGGGCCAGTTATTTAATTGACACCTAAGATGGATAACCTGTGGTAAGGCCATAAAAGGCCAGCAACCAACTACAGCAAGTTTGACATAACCTTAGTATTTGAATTCTCTGTATTCTTTTGTTATGTTTGAAATATGTTTGAAATATTTCAGAATGCATTAAAATAATAAGGCCAGAAAATTCTTACTCAGGAGACCAGATCACATGTTACCAGTAGATTAGCCTATCAATCCACATAGAACTAGCTTTGTCTGACTTCAAAGTTAATGGGGATACTAGCTCATAAATTTCTCCATTATTCCTCTTTTTGACTTAAAGCATGTATAGTCCCACTAAAAGAATAAAATAAAAATAAATAATATTTAAAAGGGCATCATAAATAATAATATATTTTCTCCCTTACATCAATTCATCAAAAGCTTGTCCCTCAGCTAGTCTGTTTCTGAGAAACTCAGAAAAAGAAGTAGGGAGAACTGTATGGGCCATTAGATAATTACAGTGGGTGGCCACATTCATCCAATCTTTCATTCACTCAACAAACATTATATATTTACAATGTGCAAGCTATTGCACTGCATGTTAAGGAGAATTGAAGGACAAGCACAATCTACTCATTACTCCCAGGTAGCTTAAGACATTGTAAAGAAATAAGTAATCTAAAAAAGTGGCTCTAGTGCAAGATGAAATGTGACATGTGTTCAATAAATACACGATGAATGTGGGAATAGGACCTAGCAGGAGGTATCTGATTTCTAACTTTATGTACCTTTTACATATCTTTTTCGAAAAAAAAAATATATATATATATATATATATATATACATTTTTATTTCTACCTTGCTCTGTTTTATTGTTTCCATTTATTTGTTTTCTTGTTGAACTCAACTCTTCCCTACTAAATTTCTTTTTTTTTTTTATTTTTTTTGAGACGGAGTTTTGCTCTTGTTACCCAGGCTAGAGTGCAATGGCGCGATATCAGCTCACTGCAACCTCCGCCTCCTGGGTTCAGGCAATTCTCCGGCTTAGCCTCCCGAGTAGCCGGGACTACAGGCACGCGCCACCATGCCCAGCTAATTTTTTGTATTTTTAGTAGAGGCGGGGTTTCACCATGTTGACCAGGATGGTCTCGATCTCTTGACCTCGTGATCCACCCGCCTCGGCCTCCCAAAGTGCTGGGATTACTAAATTTCTTACTTGAGGGAAAGGACTTTGTATGTGTGTTTTAAAAGGTATCTTTATGTCCCTCATAAAATCTATATGAAAATTCTTTACATAGTGCAATATGGTTAAATCTCAGTTGGTCTGGATTCACAGCATGCTTACCATTGGAGCTGCCTGCCTTGATGATGACCCCTAACCAATGCTATACAATATACAGTGGATCCTTGTTATTGACAGTAGTTATATTCTATAAAGTCATCATGAACACTAAATTAGGGAACACAGATCTTTTGCTCCTAGGGACATACACATTTTTGTGTGTATATGTGTGTGTGTGTGTGTGTGTGTGTGTGTGTATACATGTATATATATATATACACGTGCGTATATATGTGTATATATGTGTATATATACACATATATACACATGTATATATATACACACATATATATGTATATATATACACACATATATATGTATATATATATACACACGTATATATATATATACACATATATATACGTATATATATACACATGTGTATATATGTGTATATACACGCACACATATAGGAAACACAGATCTTTTACTCCTACGGATATATACATGTATATGTGTGTGTGTATATATATATATATACACACACATATATATATATACACACACACACACATATATATACACACACATGTACATAAACATACCCACATATATAGATATACAAATCTCACATAGATTATATGTTATAATTGTTCATGCTTGCAACTAGTAGATTGTGTTTTATTTTATGAAAGAAAAACAGGTTCTAAAACATGAAGTCCTGAGGCCGCCTCACTAACAGGTGCTAGAGTTGGGATTCAAATGCCCTCCAGTTGGTCCCAGAGATGAGGCAATTTGCACTGAGC